TTAATAACAATTTTCATAACAATTTTTGATTATTTTTTAAAAATTAAATTTTCAGTGTCAATCAAAATGAGCTCAGAAAAACATTTAAGGCATGTAATGTTATATGAATTTAAAAAAAATACTGCAGTTACAGCAACAAACTATATATTGTTGATCAGCAATCAAAACTCATCTCCAATAATTAGAAAACCACATTTTTGTGTTAATGTGTTGTAAAATCAATTTCTATGTATTGCCAAAACCTCTTAAGTGGCTTGCACCTTTTAGACACTCTCTCTGATGATGTCAAAAACTCACCACCACATACTCAAAATCTTGCTCCCTTGAAACTATGTTTTTTTATAGCTGTCTTGTAAAATTTTAGGAAATGCAGATACAAGGTTTTAATTGCCAACTGATAATATGTAGTGGGTATGGCAGTGAAACCTTAAATGTCAGCATTGGTTCAAAATTTAAGAATGGGAATTTCAATCTTGAAGATAAGTATTTCTCTAGACAACTTTCTTAGCTAAGAAAATTCTGAAATTCCTGCACCCAAGTGAAAGCTGAGCCAAACTATTTAGACAAGAAATTATTAACTTGGTGTCCCAATCAACAGTAATTAGGTAGTTGCAGCACCTGGGAAAGATAAACAAGTAGTTGGATTTGGTTTCCATATGACATTACTGAACAAAATCTTCAGAATAACTTCATTCTTAATAGGCACAGTAAACTCCATTTTAAGGCAATAATAATGGGGGATAAGAAGTAGGTATAATACACTAATGTCATTTGTAAAAAAAAAGTGATTAGATTCAAAGGCTACTCCATCTCTAGAACAAAGCATGCTCTTCATCTTTGAAAGAAATGTATATGGTGGGATATGAGGAAAATATTGCATTTTGAATTCAAATGAAGCAGTAATTATTATTTAGTACCTCATTTGTACATATATCTAAAATATCTATTTTATACTGTTAGCAATAGCAAAATTTTGTGAAAAACTTCAAGAAAAACATCCATATTTGGCAAACAAGGACATTATTTTGTTGCACAATAATGCTCAATCCCTTGTTGCAATAACCACCCAATAAAAATTATGAAAACTTAATTGGAAAGTTTTCCCAGAAGCATAACTAAAAATTTCTCTCTCTTAAGCAAAATTTAGATTGCAAAGGACATATTTAAGGACTAAGTCCTAAGCCCGACATGGGCAAATGTGGCTCTACACGAGGCTCTTGCTGAAAGTGTTAATTTCTGCTTTTTATTATTATTTTTACAATTTTATTTCCACAATTTTGTGAAAATATGTTTATTAAAAAAATTCAATATTTGTTTTATATTGTATTTATATTATATAATAAAATCGCAATACAGAACAAAAAAGTACAGAACTGCGGCTCCCATGCATTTTGCAAAACTACATTTCGGCTCCCACTGAACTTTTGCTTGCCCACCCCTGGTATAGGTAGTGAGTGCTACAGCAAACAAAATGAGTAAAAATCAGTCATCTTTTTCTGTAAGCTTACAACTACTGAGTACAAGTACAGTGCTTATGATAGAGAACTAGTTGCTACTAAGAATAGAGGAAGGTCTTTTATTTCTAGGAAATTTAGATGTCAAATATTTGATTCTGTTACAACTTAGCACACTCAACCATCTAAGCAACTTCCAAAATGATATGTGAACATTTTGCTGGAATTTAGATAAATTGGATGTAACTGTTTGGGTGTAAACTTGCATTCCATGCCATCATGGAAAAATACATCTGCATACTACTCAAGACTAGATACTTTTCTTAGCTTAGCATCCACTTTAAAGCGTATGATGTGATATAATGTGGTGGTCATGTAGATATACTGGAACCATTTCTGTATCACAAGGCTTTCATTATATCTTCATATACATTGATAGGTACTTTAGATGGCTGTTGGATTTCAGTAAAATTAATTTTTTGTAACTAAGGTGGTTCTGTGAGCTAGGAAAGGAAGGTGCAAAGTTTGTCTTTGGAATCAGCCATTATGTTGTTTGTGCTTGGATGTGTTTTTTAAGTATTGTTAATATCCTTCAGTATGTACCATCTGTAACTAGACAATCAATTTTATTAAACTGTATTATATTGGTCAATTATAAAGTGGTCCAGAAATCTTTATGTCCATGGAAATGGGTAAAACCAATAGCAAAGGCATTTTGTACTAGTTGATTGTTATTTTGGCACTCTCCTTGCATTGACCACAGATCAGGGACAATAATTTGAATCAGAACTTTTCTGTTCACTATTGTCACTACTGGATATTAACCAGATAGACACAAATTAATATCATTCAGCAGCAAATTATATGGTGGAATGTTTTCACTGCTTGCTTAAGGCAGCAATTCATTATAGTATGGGAGACAGATGAGTGGACATCCTATTGACTGTAATGCTAGGCTTTTGAACAGTATTCAAAGAAGACTTAAGAGCTTTATGGGAGAGACAATTTCTGGCAAAATCTTAAGTTTATCTAGCAAATTTTTTTCCTGCAATAGACACATGGAGCTGACAACCTTTACAGTCAAATAAGAGAGACAATGAAGTGTGTTCATTCAATTCAAGCAAGACAGATGAATAAATCTTGCTTTGCTCACAAAGACCTGATGTGTAATCACCTGATGTGAGAGAGAGAGAACTCTAATGTCATGTATGCATTTTTATTGTACATTGAATATGTTCATGAATATTGTATATTCATTCATGTTGGATATACAGTAGAAACTTGATAATTCATCATGTCCAGAATTGAAGGGGCAACAAATTATAGAAAATCTAGGAATAATAATTGAAATACTTTTGTAGTTTTAATTAATTTAATATATAACTTATAACCTATTTTTTACAAAAAGCCAAGAATATAACTTAAAAAATACCTTACATATTTTAAATTTTGCCAGAATGTTATAAAAAATTGTTCTTTTGTTTTTGTTTGTGTGTACATATTACATTTTAAAAAACTGTATTATTTGTTTAACTATTTTTTTGCTTGAACAACACCTTAAATACTTTTATCAGCAAGACTACTTTGATTTATTTAAACAAATGTTTTAGACAGCTTTTCATAAGTCTGCATCAGGTTTAAAAGGTTTGAACTTTAAGTTCTAACTGATGTTCAAACATTTTTTTAAACTTAAAGTTTGCATCATCTTGCTGAACCTGATGCAGACTTATGAAAAGAAGTTGCCTTGCTGAAAATCAAATAAATCAAAGCCTTGCTGAAAAATATATTTAAGATGTTCAAGCTAAATTTGTTTGTTTATAGAGAGGTGTTTTTTATGAACTATTTTTTTTTTCCCCTTCATGATTGTGAAGTTGCACACACACCTCATTGTGATTAAGTTCTGAATTTCTGCCTCATTTTGCTGTTTAATGCATTTTAATAACATTTCCTCAACTTCTTTGCATCAAGAATTAGATATGTCATATTTATCACTATTATCTTTATCTGCTTCTTTATTGTTTACATCCTTGTTTGTTACTTGTTCTATTATTTCCCTATCGTTCAAAATTTCATATACCAAATCTGAGCTATCCACATTAAGCAAGTCATTTACATCACCCTATTCTAATTGATGGATGATGTTTCTCTAATGTGTAAGTGTCGTTACACATTTGAGAAACAACATCCAGCAATTGTTTGTTTTCATCACTGTTACTTCTGCTAAGTACATCTGATAGCCAAATTTTGCTCCAACTTGGAGACATTGTTTCATTTGGAACGTTATTTCATGCTTCGACGATGTTGAAAACTGCATGTTTAATAGTGTATTGTTTTCAAAATTTATCAAAATTCTACCCATATCAAAAGAAATAAATTATTGAACAAAAATTTTCAGTCACTCACTGATCCATCAGCTGAATCAGAGAGGTATTGGAAGGAAGAAAAATGCATTTTATATCTTTATTAATGGATAAGCTAGGGCATTGTCCAAAATTAAAAGTGCTTTTTCTGGTAAGTTTTTAGATTTAAGATACAATTTCATCTGAATTACAAATACATTATGAAACCAGGCTGTAAAAATTTGTTAATCCATTTATTTTTGAGTGTAATAATCAACAAACAATAATTTTTTATTAAAATTTTTTTAGAGCTCTTTGTTTCTTAGCTTTCCCAATCACTGTTAACAGAAGTTTGTGATTTCTGTCTAAAATCATCTAAAAATAACACCTTTTCAAGGTGATGAATTATAGAACATGATGAATTATTGAGTGATGACTTATCAAGTTTCTACTGTACTTATTATTTATATGCTGCAACAAATGCCTTAATTATTAAAGAGACTATATTAAAAAAGTATATCAAAATATTTTCATTATATATTGTTGGTTTATTTTATTAAAATTTTACTATTAATTTATGGATATTATAAATTTATTTTAATCTTCATATATGAAGGAAAAAATTATTTGACAAAGATTAATCAAACAGTAAAATAATACGAAGCCAAATCAAATATTTATTTTTTCTCTTTTCTGCCAATTAGATAAAGTATTGAATAATACAGTAGATGTTTGTTAATTAGCAGCTGACAATCCAGAATATCTGGTAATCTGGTACCCTCCTGACAAGTATCCAATAATCCAGAATTGTATAATAATAATCTGGCTTGCTAATATTCTGCAAATTGGAATTTGTTTGGACACATGGTGCACTAAAGACTCTGAGCTAAATATATTACATATCTGGAAAATAAATATTATATGCACATTAATCATTATGAATGTTGATTTCATGCAATAACGTTCTTGCATGAAATCGACATGTTCATTAATCAAATTATATCGCATGAAATCAAATGTGTTCATTAATGTTTCTGCAGGTTTTTCAATCAATCTTAACACAGTGTAGTAATACACTGTAGCATCTTCAGAGCTGATTAAATAGCATATGTAAAAAATTGAAAACATACAGCAGTATTCACTGGTGTAAAAATGTACAGCAATGTCTACACTGTTCAATTTAATATAACTTTTCAAATTTTGTGATAATACAAAAACATCAGGTAATCAGACATTATTGATAATCTAGAACCACTCTGATCTCATAGGTGCTGGATTAATGAACCTTTGTTGTAATTGAATGTTGTACAGAATACAAATTTAATAGTCATTTAGTACTTGGCATCTGTATTTTACATGTTTATGATTAATTTTCCATTCAAGATTCAGTTCTAATGTCTATTTGTAAATTTTTAATTCTAATCAATTGTGTAATAAAGATAAGTAAATCATTTGGAAAATCTTTTTAATTTAATTATCAGTTTTAATATTGAAGATCACAGATATAGTATTCACATTATATATATAAAATTCTTTCTTAGATAATTCATATTTTACAATTCTTTCTCACATAACTTAGTTCAATATATAGTACAGGATTTTTAGATCTAAAAACAGAACTGGTGGATTTTGAAAATATTATGTATTGAAGGAAAACAGACCAACATGTGGTTTTCAGTAATTGTCAGCAAAATTTAAAGTTTTTCTACATTACAAAACCAGAAAATGCTTCTGTCATTATAAATAGAACTTTTGAATGAAGCTTTTCTTAACTGATGGATGGGGTGAGATGAACCTGTTCAGTTTCCATCCTGTTCTTGACATAATCCCTTTTAGCTTTTTCTTGTGCATTATGTGAAGAACCTGGTTTATCAAATACCTGTTATAGATATTGAAACATTAAAAGGTTGCCTAACAAAGGCATTCAGAACTGTCACTAAAGTCATGTTATGTAACATATAGAGAGAGATTGAGTATTTTAATCTTGTGAGAGTAATGCAGGGTGCACATATTTAGATTGCTTAAAGATGAGAAGTCTTGTTCACTAATTAGAGAAAATCTTGTAGCTGTATCTATTTTCCTAATAAATGAGTTTCTGTAATCTGTTAGTTCTTTTCCAGCACCCTGTCCTATCCTATACAGAAACTTCTTTTGATTATGGTAATAAATATGTTTTATAAGAATGATTTTTGTGATAAATTTTAATTTCTGTATAGTGTATATACTTAACTGCTGTGCAATGAGAATTTCATAAGTACATAGATGTAAATAGGGTTTTTGTATATAATGTATATAGATTTTATATTATTTTGACAAGATCAAAGCAAACTTTTTAAAACTTATATTATTGAAAATACATCATCAATGACAAAATATATTATATTGTTTCTAATATAAGCATTTTAAGAATAATATGAATCTTTGGCAAATTTATATTAAGTCATTGATGATTACTAGTTCTTAACAACAATTTTTTTAAATATTATTTTTCAACTGTTGTATATAGACTCAGTTAAGAGGATTTAAACATATTTCTTTGTGAAATCAATAATTGAGTATTTGTTAGTAATATACACAAATATTAAAATTTAAATATCTAAAATGTAGTTAGTTGTTAAAATCCAAAACTTCTTTACCAACTGTTTATTCAAGGTAAAACTAGATCTTAACATGAGAACAAAAAAATAATAGATTATTGTTCAGAATGTCTAAAAAATACTGTAACATAGATAAAACTACTAAATACCATTCATATAGTACATTTAAAAAAGAATTTTGTTACAGAATTAAGAAAAATTTATTGTAGAACAACATTAACAACAGATAGTGATAAACATATTGCTAAAATATACAGAAAATAATTATCCAAAATATTTATTACATAAATGGAAAAAGGAATATGAAGAAAATAGATTTTGGGTTAAAGATAAAAAAATACAAAATAGATCTTAGTTTTCCATATATAAGAAGACTTTTTGAAAAGCAAAAAATAAATTGAAACAGGTAGGCATCAACTTAGTTCCTTAATTAACTAATAAACTAAATATTACAGGAGTAAAAAAGAAAAAATTAAGTAAAGAAGAATTATACAAGATGGGCATAATATATGAATTAAAATGTGATTGTAATATACAGGAGTATACATTGGAGAAATAAGAACAGAGTTAAAAATACAATAAAAGAACACATAACAGCTTTAAAACTTAAATATCAATGATCACAATGGATAATACACCAAAAAGAAAATAACTGTAAAATAATATTATATAAGATATAAAAAAAATAAAAAACATTTTATTGTAACAGAAAAAAATTGCAAGAAAAAATGTAAATGTGATAAATTCAAACACAGGTGTAATAGTTTCTCTGGAGTGGCATATAATTCTAGATGATGTTGATAAAATAAATGAGAAATTGTTGGAAGGTTAAAGATATCTAAGTAATACAGTATAATGTAAAGTAAGATGTATATTATATGATGTTATATTAATATGCAAATTTTATTGTTTTTATGACTGTCAAAAAGATGAAATATGTGATACTGATGTGATTATTGAATCAAAATGCATTTATTACAATAAAGACATTGAAGAGAAGTAAATTAGTTTTTATTTTGGTTATTCTTTTATGCCTCTTTTAAAATAATTTTATCTTGGATAATCAATTGATAAAGAAGTTTTGAATTTTAACAATTACCTTCCTTTTAGATATTTACATAACAACCAAATGCTGTACAATCGACCCCCCCTATAACACGGTAGATACCCCCTATAACACGGTAGTTTTTATGAATCCAGCTTCTAGGAGTCCAACCAATCACAGCCCGGCACGTATGCAGTTTACGGACTACGGCTGTTTGAAAGGTTTCTTCCATAAAATTAATTGATTCTAGACTAATTCGACACAACATTTCCAAAATACGTATAATTTTTTGGGAATTATCCATATAAACTATGCTATAAACAAAAAATTTTAGGATTACTTACCAAGTGTGCACCGTTCGACTACGCCGTTGCTTAAGCTTTTCATCATGGAGATTGTCATCAAATGGCATTCGCATGCTTCCTGATAAATTATTTTTTTTGGCAAAAAATTCGCTGAACTTTAGAGACATCATTAATATAAATATAATTTTTATGGACGTTAAATAATAAATGGTTTTTGGTAGGTCCGCTGCTCATTTAAACTCAACAGTTTGTGCAATCCTGTCGTGACACGAGTAAGCGATGACGTTTTACCGAATTATAGGAGTTTTTTAAGCATGTTTGTACGAATACTGTCGCAATTTTTTCGCCGTGATATAGGAATCTAAACTATAGGAACCCGTGTTATGGGGGGGTCAACTGTATTTATTAATGTTTTAAAAATACCTCATTTATCAAGTTATACCTTATTACCTNCACTCTGTACGAGGCAATAACAATTCCACCGGCGAAGTCGGCCTTTCTATGTAGGCTACCGTTCGCCGTAAAATGTAAAACAGTTAATAAAATCCTCTAGCGGTAGCATAACACAATTAATATTACATTTTGTTAAAAAATAAAAATTTGCCAGGACAAATTATGACATTTATAGAAAATATATTTCTTTTTGACTATACATACATAGATGAAGGGACAGAAAATTGATAAAGACTCATCTATGTATGTATAGTCATACAATTGATGTCTATATTCAATTGTATATACTATTCCAATTGTATATACTATTCCAAAGTCATAATATATTCACATCCAGATGTCTACATAGAAATGGTTGGGGACCATTTCTATGTAGGCTACCGTTTGCCGTAAAATAACATTTTACGGCAAACGGTAGCCTACATAGAAAGNTGGCAAATTTTTATTTTTTAACAAAATGTAATATTAATTGTATTATTTTTTAAGCCTATATGTATGTTTGTCCAAGAAATTTTTGAATGAAATACAAACCGCACAACTTCAAAATCGCATAAAAATAATCCGCATGAAAAGAGACCTTACAGTATATATATGGGTCTGCTATATCTTTATTATATGAATCAATTAGGAAAATCTAATAATTTAAACAGAAAAAAAAATTTTTAATTGATTTAGAATGAATTAAAAATTCTTTAACCATGTTATGTGTGAAAATTTACTCTAATATAAAAATTGGTAATTTTAATTTACTACTTACTCCATCTTTTGGATACCATTTTGTTGGATCTTTACCATTAAAATGTTTCATAGCAATAACTCCTGTTACAATAGCTGTGTAAATAGTTATGTTCAGAAAAATAATTTTTCTTTTGTCGCTACATTTTTCAAAATAATCATGTAATAAAAACAAATATAATAAATACAAAAAAAGGATACTTATGATAAAACATACTGATGACATTAAAGCCAATCCAAGTCTGACACGAGCTACTGCTAAAGAATTCAGAAGAGGATATGCATAATAAGACATTATGGTTTGAAGCCACATATATACTATGCCAGATCCAAAAGCTATAAAGGTACCAATAAAATGTACTATTGACACAGAGGTTTCCTACAAAGAAACAAATAATAAATAATTCAATTAAAATAGTTTTTAAAATCTCAAAAATTTCAGAAAGTTTACCTGGAAATTTGCAACTAAGGTCACTCCAAATGCACCTATCCATCCCATCCATAAACTTGCAAGATTGAACTTCAAAACTTTACTAGACTCTGCTGATAGATGATCACGATAGTATTGTTCTACTTGCTTAAATTTCACATAGGTTGTTGCCATTACTATTTAAATAATATTTTTCATATAATTACAATATTTATAAGGATTAACTAACTACTATGAATGAATGAATCAATGCAGCTTTAACAGTGGGTGAAGTTTAAATAATGCTAATGTTTTTGACCCTATGGGTCATTGTCTTCAGTCAGACAGCTGAAAGTGGAATAACAGTGTCAAAAGAAAAGAAGATGGAATAGACTCCACTAGAGTAAACAATGGGGGAGGGAGACTATAACAGCAGCATTTGATTCAAAAAAATAAGAAGATATTGACAAGTATGGGAAAAGGAGTTCTTGTCCCTCGGGTTTATAACTGAGTGGTTATAAATTTTACACTTCTCTACAATGCTGACATCGGAGAGGTGAAAGAGAATTCTTAAGATTTCATCCATTGTTGAAGGTGCATTGATTAATTCAGCTACAATATTTAACCCCTAAATTTTCAGTTTTAAATAATACCATCAGTGGGCCGCGGTAAAATATCAAACGTTGACTGGTCCGTGGCAATAAAATGGTTGGGGACCACTGCATTAAAGTATCTCCAAATAAAGTAGTTTTGTTTGATGATGGTTAGTTTAAAAATTAAACTTGTAAATTCAATTCATTTAACATTTATTTTAATTTTAACCACTATTGCATATAATATTAGTATAATATTAATCATTATTTTCTTTAATATGTATAAAAATCAAAATACAGAACTTACAAAAAAGTGCTACAATAGTTAGCAATTCTCCAAAAATACAACTCTCTGGGATGTAAGTTCCTGTATCACTGATATATGGAAACTCAATTTCAACATGATGAAGACAGATAGATATGACGTATCTAAAAATGTATTAATTCAAGATAAATGTTATTTGAAAATATTTAGTATTTTTAGAATATCTGACAAAATTTCTTAATACTTACGTGATCAGAAATGTTACAGGAATCAAAACAAACAATAATAAAGGTAGTAAATATACTTTTCTTAGCACCATGCTTCAACAAATTTTTTAACCTGGAATTAATAATTTTATTTAGAAAATAAATTATTGATGTGTTTTTTAATGATATTACTTATAAATAAATGCTTTTATAGGTAGACTAGAACTAAGATCATGGGGACTGAAGGTGGTTTGGATAACTGAACACCAAACCATATAATGCTAAAAAATTTACATTAATGCATCATGTCAGGATAATAAAATAATCATAAAGAGAGCCAAACTTTATCTTTATCAAAAGAAATAATCACATATGTTCCTTTGAACAAAATAGATCTTTGCTACAAAATTAACAACACAACTGTCTAGTGACATTATGGAAAAGGTTATTTATGCAAATAAATGAACCTTTTCCATACCACTTCATTGCCTGAAAAGGATAGTTATATACTGTTCTTTTCAGGCAATGAAGTGCTGTTAAGTTGGAGAAATGGCATAAAAGTCATACTTAATCTAATGCAACACACACATCATTATCATAGGCAAAGACTACTAGGGTAGTCATGAAAGTTCCTTCTTGATGCTGTATTTACACTCCTTACTCCACTTCCCTAGGCCTCTAGCTGTCAATCCTGCATACTCCTATGAGTGGCTTATGTTATGACTTCTGGCTAAACAATGTGATAGTTATGTGTGTATATAATTTGCCGACGAAAGAGATATAAGGAATACCAAGACATGACTCGTGAACAGAAACAATTAATATAAGTTTATTTACAAGGCATAAAACAAGTATCACAGGATCTTTTGTTGGAAACCCAACTAAGGCTGAACACCAGTGATTTTCCCATGTCGGAAATACACACGAGTACAGACAAAAAAAAATTTTGCACGTAACAAAAATAACCCGAAATTAATATTAACTTAAAAACTACCTTACAATCTAAATGAAAATAAGAAATGGAAATTAAAAGAGGGTAGATAGAAAGATTAGTTGTGAAAAGTACCTGGGATTTTTGGGGAATACCGTTCTTCACTTGCAAAATGGGGTCCACTGGGGACAAGTCTTCTTGCTTTTCTCTTGTCTTTTGTCACGCAAGGCAGTTCAGTTGATTCTCCAAATTTTGTGATAATCCAAAATCTCTTGCTTTGAAAAAAAAGCACTCTTTATCGAGTCTCTTATTGAGCCACATAGTACTCGCCAAAGCTTAACTGCTCTGCACGTCCTTTCTGATCTCCTCAGACCACAAGGACCTCTGTGTGTTCTATCCAAGATCCAGCTCAAGAATGACCTCCTTTTACTTCCCCTTTTGGCCCATCATTGTTCTTTCTATTGTTTGATATTTCTTGGAACAGACCCCCCATGCGGACAGAAGAAGGATTAGAAAGGGATAGGAAGTTCTAGAAGGGAAAGCAAAGAACAAAGAAGACTAAAACTATACTTAAATTAATATATACAAAATGGCATACTGCCACAACAACTCCACTTTCTTCTTTGTTTAAATGATTGATGATGTCTAGTTTTGATTCTATTGTCAGCCTGTTATACTTCCTTTTAGATGACAATGTGAGCTCTTTCAAAAACAACTCTCACAATGTCCACAAGAAATGTGCAAAAGCAGTGCACAACACCTCAGTGAAGATATTTGTGAATACATTTTTATGATTTCCAAGAGTGTTCTCATTGTCCTGCAAAAGGTCTTTTCCAAAAGTCTCTCTGGCCAGCGTGATATGTTTTTTATACTACACTCTTAGAACCTATAACTGGTGTGGTATAAAAAATGCAAGATAAAGATCACCACAGACATTTTCAAACTGCTGTGAGATCTTCAGGTGTGAAACAGAATAACTGATGGGACAGAGCAAACCATTACAGAAATTCAAGAAATATTAGGTGTTACATGAGACGCATGCATGTTCGTCTGGTTGACATATTGTGACCTTAACGTTCGGAGTCCATCAACACCTGCAGGCCGGCGACAGAACCAACTCATCCGTAAAATTGATGCAGTTGTCATTGAGGGTTGATTTATAAATGTGAATGGCCTCTAGCCACTTAAGGTATTTGGCGTGTGATGTAGTATGTATGAGCTTCGCCTGGTGGAAGGCTGCCTCAATGCCCAGGTCGGCGGCGTATGTGGTGATGGTAGAAGTATTTCTCTGATGATGTATGTCCACTATATGTTCCTGTACTCTGACTTCCAAGGAGCATTTTGTGGATCCAATGTAAACGATCCGTACCTAAAAACAACATATTCAGATTGCGTACAGAAAATGTCCAACCATCTTTGACATCATTCACAATGGAAAAGATCACCCCAACCAGAACAAACTCCCTGGAGTGTATAGTATTCCCATTAGGGATCAGTTATAGGTTCTAAGAGTGCAGTATTTAACACATCCCGGTGTTTTGTGGTGTAGTTTATGTCTTTTATATTTCTCATACTTTCTTTGTGTGTTGTGCATGTCTGATTTCTTCTAGAAACACCTAATGGTAAGATGGCTTTGTTTAGAATGTGGTACCTTAAGCAAAGAACCATAAGACTTCTTTGAGTGAGGAGAAAAAATGACAGTCCAGTTTGTATAACTAAAAGTCTACTGTTATTGTCACAGTTTTTTAACTTGTTTAATTTATTACAATAATTTTTACTTTACAATATTTCAGAAAATTTATTTCTTGAAGTATAAAATAAATTAATATTTTATTAGATTGCAAGGTACTTTCCTAGTTTGAAATTATCAACATATATAATTTAAAATTTAAATATCTAAAATGTAGTTAGTTGTTAAAATCCAAAACTTCTTTACCAACTGTTTATTCAAGGTAAAACTAGATCTTAACATGAGAACAAAAAAATAATAGATTATTGTTCAGAATGTCTAAAAAATACTGTAACATAGATAAAACTACTAAATACCATTCATATAGTACATTTAAAAAAGAATTTTGTTACAGAATTAAGAAAAATTTATTGTAGAACAACATTAACAACAGATAGTGATAAACATATTGCTAAAATATACAGAAAATAATTATCCAAAATATTTATTACATAAATGGAAAAAGGAATATGAAGAAAATAGATTTTGGGTTAAAGATAAAAAAATACAAAATAGATCTTAGTTTTCCATATATAAGAAGACTTTTTGAAAAGCAAAAAATAAATTGAAACAGGTAGGCATCAACTTAGTTCCTTAATTAACTAATAAACTAAATATTACAGGAGTAAAAAAGAAAAAATTAAGTAAAGAAGAATTATACAAGATGGGCATAATATATGAATTAAAATGTGATTGTAATATACAGGAGTATACATTGGAGAAATAAGAACAGAGTTAAAAATACAATAAAAGAACACATAACAGCTTTAAAACTTAAATATCAATGATCACAATGGATAATACACCAAAAAGAAAATAACTGTAAAATAATATTATATAAGATATAAAAAAAATAATAAACATTTTATTGTAACAGAAAAAAATTGCAAGAAAAAATGTAAATGTGATAAATTCAAACACAGGTGTAATAGTTTCTCTGGAGTGGCATATAATTCTAGATGATGTTGATAAAATAAATGAGAAATTGTTGGAAGGTTAAAGATATCTAAGTAATACAGTATAATGTAAAGTAAGATGTATATTATATGATGTTATATTAATATGCAAATTTTATTGTTTTTATGACTGTCAAAAAGATGAAATATGTGATACTGATGTGATTATTGAATCAAAATGCATTTATTACAATAAAGACATTGAAGAGAAGTAAATTAGTTTTTATTTTGGTTATTCTTTTATGCCTCTTTTAAAATAATTTTATCTTGGATAATCAATTGATAAAGAAGTTTTGAATTTTAACAATTACCTTCCTTTTAGATATTTACATAACAACCAAATGCTGTACAATCGACCCCCCCTATAACACGGTAGATACCCCCTATAACACGGTAGTTTTTATGAATCCAGCTTCTAGGAGTCCAACCAATCACAGCCCGGCACGTATGCAGTTTACGGACTACGGCTGTTTGAAAGGTTTCTTCCATAAAATTAATTGATTCTAGACTAATTCGACACAACATTTCCAAAATACGTATAATTTTTTGGGAATTATCCATATAAACTATGCTATAAACAAAAAATTTTAGGATTACTTACCAAGTGTGCACCGTTCGACTACGCCGTTGCTTAAGCTTTTCATCATGGAGATTGTCATCAAATGGCATTCGCATGCTTCCTGATAAATTATTTTTTTTGGCAAAAAATTCGCTGAACTTTAGAGACATCATTAATATAAATATAATTTTTATGGACGTTAAATAATAAATGGTTTTTGGTAGGTCCGCTGCTCATTTAAACTCAACAGTTTGTGCAATCCTGTCGTGACACGAGTAAGCGATGACGTTTTACCGAATTATAGGAGTTTTTTAAGCATGTTTGTACGAATACTGTCGCAATTTTTTCGCCGTGATATAGGAATCTAAACTATAGGAACCCGTGTTATGGGGGGGTCAACTGTATTTATTAATGTTTTAAAAATACCTCATTTATCAAGTTATACCTTATTACCTTTTAGTGATTTAATATATAATTTAAAATAAAAAAAGACACTGCTAAATTCAGATTTCAAATTCAGTTTACATGACAATAGTTTCAACTAGGGTTTGATCATAATCAGCTTATTTCATATTGATAATTTAAGCATCTATCAAAATCTGAAGAAATTAAAAAATTTTTAATTTCTTAAAAAATTTCAATAAATAATAAAAAAAATGTTAACTCCATGACAAAAAGTTCCACATTTGACAAAGTCATTTCTCACAATTGACCCTTCTCTGTAGGCTACTGTTGAAGCCAGAAGTTTATCTTTTCCCTGTAGTTGATCTCTGTCAGAACTGTCGCAATCAATTTTCATAATAATAATTATTTACAAAGTTTTTAAGAAATAAAATACAACCTAATGTTTCGACTTAATACCATAGGCCTTCCTCAGTGAAGTACAGTAAAACCCCACTTAACACGGGGGATGCGTTCCTAAACAACAAAGCGCTAAGCAAAACAGCGTTAAATGAAGTCATTTTAACAGAATAAATAGGGATAGGAGAACATGCAACCAAAAATAAACAAATTTTACTTTAATTTTAAGTTATTTATTAATTTGTATAATAATATATGTTAAATAATGCATAAACATATTCACACAGAAATGTAAAGTTCATTTTTTGTGATGAAGATCCTGACTTTTCTGAAATTCTTGTTTTTTCAATGAAGTCGTGAAGTTTCATTTGTTACTTTTTTCTTTCCTTAAGCAAATGTTGGTAGCAGAAGATTGCATCCAAAATGTCTCATTTTGCTTTTGCACTCCTTTCAAAATCTGTATCATTTGCTACAATTTGATAAACAATTTTGGTTATCTTATCAAACTTTTACTAAGGAAATTTGTAGAGAAATTTTTTGGGTTCTTTGTGTTTAGAATCTCTATTTTCTAGTTCCACATGAATTACATGGTCTGCCAGTTCTTGAAGGTCATCATCGGTAAGGCTCTCACCAGAAATCTGCTGTAACTCCTCAATATTCTGCTCATCTATATCTCCTATATTGATTAGGTTGTGTTTGGTCAACCTTTGGTCAAGCTTGAACATTATCATATAGTTTAAAATAAATATATAAATTAATAAGAGCTTTTGTTCATGTTTTTATCTATAGCTGTTTAATGATAAACATTATGTAATAAACCATGCTGATTTTTAACATCATAGGCAAGTCGCAAGTCACCAATGGTCAGAAGCATGACATGTTAATGCTGTTTTAATGGCCTATGAAAACATTCCACCATTCTATTTGATACAAGGTGATATGGAGTGGTCCTGATATGGTAGATGCCCAAAAGTTTAGTGAGTGCCTGGAATAAAAAGAATTTGAACTGGTATCCTTGGTCTGTGGTGACATAAGCTGGGACTCCAAAACATGCTGTCCAAGCAGAGTAGGCCACTGTATTGGTGGAAATGTTGGGTATAAGTATTGCCTTAAGCCATCTCGTAAATCTGTCAACACAAGTGAGACAGTAAGAAAAACCACGGAATGGAGGAAGTGGCCCAATGATATCTAGGAATATGTGACGAAACCACTCAGATGTCAGAGTGAACTTGCCAATAGGGCTGGTATGCTGGTGATCTTTGACTGCTGAAAGATTATGCAAGACTGGGTCTGGTAGGCAGCATCGATGTTAATAGAAGACCAGATGAAATTCTGGCAGAGCATTTTGGAAGTAGCATGTATTCCCAGATGAGAAAGACCACGAATGAAGTTAAAGATTGCATGGAGGAACAAAGGGTCAAACTGCTCGAGAAAATGTCACAATAAAGCTGTTTGTTAGTGTCGTCTATCTGGATCAGTCATATGTCAAGGCTAGTAGATTATTAGTAGAAAAAAACAAAAATAATTATTTTCCAAAATAATAAAAAAATTTCAGAAAAAGAAACCAAGTTATACCTTTATAATTTCTCTCTTCAAATAGTAAAGGAAACTGACTACTTGGGAGTGACTTAATTGGAATGGCAGTATTGGGGCCATATGACTATGTGTTTCTAAACAGAACAGTAAGGTAAAGTAACAAGTGATAATGCTATAGTTGTGCTCAGCTCTAAAATTTCAAATGCATACTTGCATATAAAATTATATAATTAATTAATAAACTCAATGATTTATTATGCAGGTTCTATTTGGGAATCAGACTATCTGTTTGATCTGGAGAATTTTCTAAGTTTATTTTCTCTGCAGATTATCCCAGTTAGAGAGAACTATATTTGGATATACTATTTATCAGGAGACTAACTGTATTTGAATATTTTCATTCTTCCTAAAACAAACATTAAGTATTTTATTACCAGTTGAAATTTACAAAAATAATTTTTTACATCAAGAAATGATAGCAAAGCAGAAGATTAAATACCAATCAATTATGGCACACAAAATTCAATAAAATACTGCTATAATTTGGTGTAATTTCTCTTTTATTTGAAAATAATATACATAATTGAAAACACTGTTATATGTTATTGCTTGACTCAGCAATATCAAAATCTATAACTAAAGATCAAGATAATCTACGTCAATCTACTTACCATCCTTGGCCATCTACTTACCATCTAAAAATAATGAATATACCTTCATCTCAACCATATATGAAGAAATCTACAGGAATCAATATAAAAGATTAATCACTCAACTGTGATTAAACAAAAGTTCATTATTTATTGGAAACATATACGTATAATAAAACCTTTTAATTACAAATTGCTATTGGTGTAATTCTAGTAATTTTTTGATAATCGACATATTACAGATTTTAAGAAATTTATAAGTTTTAAATACTTTTGATTGTTGACAGTTAAACACATTTCTTTGCTGTCAACAATAAGCTTGATTTTAACCATGGAGGTCCTCATCTTTAATCTTTTTTATCCTATCCTCCACTCAGATTAGTTTGATCACAATCCAGTTGATCCTAGATGATGTTTGTATATGTGGATAAAAATTGATCAGATCATTATAGTTTGTTTGTATATGTGTTAGGCTCAAAGACCGAAATTGCTCATTGAGCGAAAAAAATGACCACAATGCGTTGTGGCTAACTCAAAACGACCACAAAGCGAAATTCATGACGTGGCTTTCATTATATTTGACCACTATGCATTGTGGTGATTAAGAAAAGCCTTAACGCATTCTGAACATTAGCTGATGCAACCACAATACAGGATCATATGACGCACAGGTTTAAAATATGGATTATAGGCTCGAAACATTTTTATTTACAATTTTTAATGCCGAACAACATTAGTTCTACAAGTTTCCCTAGAAATTTAATTTTCATACTTAAAAAATTTCAAAGAAATAAAATATATGGAGAAAAATACACATTTGTTTCTTTTGTTTTGCTAAAAAGTGTTAAAGGTCTAATTATATATACATATAGGTGCTTGATATACTATACGCGATAAAATAAAAATCAGCTGCTAAAGTTAAAAACCACTTTGCGATGGATTTATTATGGTTAAAAGCCACCACACGTTGTGGATGTTAACTAATAACGAGCGATGATAAGAAAATAGAACTTTCTTTTTCATTATGATTTATTTATCTTCAATCATCTTATATATGCAGGTAACAAAATTATTCACCACATACAAAAATTTAACTTGGTTAGTTTACAACATTTAATTATTCATGCATTTTATGTTCTTGAGTGACATTTGAATTTTTATCAATACAGTATCTTTTACAGTGACACAAGCACAACCCTTGCTTACTTCCAGATGTTAACATGGATGCTGAGTGAAATGTTAATAAAGTTGAGGGTGCATTATGAATGTTAATAAAGTTACTGTAGAAATTGTAAATTCATTACAAGCATAAAGTCAATTAAGAAGACTTTCCTTGTTTCCTAACTGATAGAGACCTGATGGATTAATGCTCGTAACAACAGCTAAAACATTTCTGGGAGCTGCACATCCCCTATCAACATTAGGCACCCCAACTAAAACAATCAAACCAATTTCAACTGCAGAAAATTATCCTAAATTGAGAAAACTCTCCTAGCTCAAGCTCAAGCTCGAATAAAAAAAAAGATGAACAATTCTATGACGCAGATCCCTGTACTATTATTGTGAAATAATAATCAGAACAATTCTTACTGTTTTTGAAAATTTTAATAACTAAAATGTCTTAGGATTTTTAGGCTTTATCAGAGGTATTAATTTACATCTGATATGAAGAGTGCCAATGGTTCAATGGCACGAAGGTTAAGAAAAGCGAAATCCTACTCGAATGTAATATACAGTAATACTTCAGTTTTCGTTGACTTAAGTTATCATTGGTTTCGGATTTCGCCAATTGTTTTCGAACAGATTATTGATGAAAACCGAAGTATCACTGTACAGTGTACACCCATGTACCTAGCTTCAATCTGCATTATTTCTTTAGCTTCTGTTGTCCTATCCTAAAACCCTACAGTTATAAGGAAAAACAGAACGATTTTAGGCTAAAACTTTTTCCAGCAAAACTTGTGGAGCGATGAGTAATAGCATCAGAACACAGGGTAGTTTTACCCTAAATATAAGACTACCCGAAACATTACTCTGAGAAGTTGAAATTACTCTAGAAAGGGGTAATTACCCTAGAAACAGCAGCACTGGTCAAGAATGAACACAATACAAACTCCGTAAGTGTTTGCAATACACCCGTTGACAAGTTACAACCTATCCTTCGTATCATGATTGCATCAGCTAATGTTCAGAACGCATTATGGCTTTTCTTAATCACCATAATGTGTAGTGTTCAAATGTCATGAAAGCCACAACGCAAATTTTGCTTTGTGGTCGTTTTTTTTGCTCAATGAGCGATTTCGGTCTTTGAGCATAACATATGCAACTTGAACAATCAAAGTAATCTTGGATAAGTTTCATTCCATAAATATATGCACCCAAGGGGCATTAGAGAGAACTGGAAGGTAAGAGAGATAAAAATTCATTTTGAAAGAAAAAATTTTACTATTGAACAACAGATAACCTCTAAACTCAGTTTTTGAAACTTATTACTTTATGCATAGATCAGGAGATGGCACCTAATGTGTATCTCTAGGCATTAGGTGCCATCTCCTGATAAATTTAATATTTAATAATTAATTTAGAAGGTTCTGGAAGAAAAGAATTAGCCTGAAGCAGGACTCTGCTTCAGACTAATTCTTTTCAAAACCTGCAATAACCATTTGCTGTGCAGATGCATTGCCAATTATGCTATCCAAACCTCCATCCAATCTTTTGTTTCTTAAATTAATTATTCTAAATTAATAATTAAATATTAAATTTACCAAGAGATGGTGCTTAATGCCTACCTGTAGACCAAATTATTTGACATTTAATTATTAATAGTAACATTAATGTAGCCTGATATAATCTGGCAATCATTTGGCATTAATTTAAAAATCAACTGAACTCAACATCTATTATCACATGATGGCATGAGTTTTGTATAAGTTCATTATTTAAGGAAGAATGATTGAATGATTATATCAGAAAATAATAATTTTCTGAAGATTTTTTAAAAGCATTTTTCTTCCTTTTTCAATAAATTCGCAGATAAACATCGATGTGTGGAGTATGGCAGCTGCAAAAAAGTTAAAATGCTCATAATTTCTGATAATTGCATCTTTTAGAAAAATTTTCAGACAAAAGTTTATTTTTTGTGTATGATCACAATATATAATAAAAAATTGGATTTCACATTTAAGAAAATGAAGTTGACCCATTTTTTATTGTGGTGCCATCTATGGCAAAACTGATATGTAATCTTGTTGCTACTTGAAGGATATCTTTGGTTTAACTAATTTTTTTATAGGATATGCATTTTTTAAGTTATTCCAGTGGATTGATTAGAATGAACCACCCTGTGCATATAAATAATCAGCATCAGTGGTATACTCAGGATTCAGTTTGGGGGAGCGAGTTGAACAGATAAAAAAGTTTTTAATGTGAATTCAATAAAATTCCCACCTTATGTAACTGCTAATTCACAAGTAGTAGGGAAATAGAAGACACAACACAATATAAATAAAAAAATGAATTTTAATTAAGAAAAAATTTTTGGAAAATTTTTTTACTATTTGTTTTCATTTTTCTTTGGAGGGTGCCAAGGCCCTTTGATCTCCCTCTGGGTGCACCACTGATCAGCATCAAATATTACATTAGCTAGCTGATACCCCTGTACTCAGTATTAGTAACTTTGTATATTATCCTAAATTTATCATAGAATGTAATTTCATTGTAGCACATACAATAATAAGTCACATCGTCCACAATATTTCCAGCAAAATAGTTTAATAAAATTTAACAAAACATTTTTAGCTACATTAAGTGGCCTGCTTCAGGTTTTAACAGTTTGAAATTGAACCTTAAAGCTTCATTCATATCTACAGGCACGTAGCATGGCCAGCATGTAACGTGGCAGACATGGCACAGACAATAGTTTTCACATCTACAACCCAGCATGCACAGACGCCTTCAGGCATAGTAGGGAGTGCACGTGCGTACCATGTTCTGAAAATTTTCGATAGAAGAACTAGCCATGATGGCAATTTTACTAGAAGAAGAAGAAGAATCAGGTTGTGTAGAAAAGCAACTAAAAAAAGGTTTGCTGTTCATCCCATGAATATAAAACAAAAAAAGAAGGAGAATTCTACACATTATTCAAGGAGCTTGTGGACGATGAGGAGAGATTTTTGAAATATTTTAGGATGAGTAAATATGAGCTCGAGACCATTGTAACTAAAATTAAACCAATGATAACTAAGCAAGACACAAAATTCAAGGAGTCTTTATCGCCTAGAGAAAAAGTAGCCGTTTGTTTGAGGTAAGATCTTTATTGTTCATGTAGATATTTAAATTTTACAAAACATTACTAAGAGTACTTGCAACTACCCTTTTCTCAATTTTGGTACAAAATTTGGTTCAGGTAAACTTATAGATATAACAAAATTTGTTTTATTCTGGGACATATGTAGTAAAATAATGTTGTAATGAGTATTCAGGTGTTCTTTCTTGTATGTTGTCCTGTCGTCATATTTCTGGTTCTTGGATATTGTTGACCCCTTGTAGTCCTGACTCATCATTAGAAATGTTATTCCATTGTACTGATCCAGGTGAGGGTGAATGTGGTGATGGTGTGTTATAGAAATCGTTTCGTTGTTCTGGTATTTGCATTTCATACGATGCAAGTGAACCTACAGAATGGGTACTTGAATTACTTGAATCTCTACCTAGAATGTCTAGCTCCATTTCTGATATCACTCTAAATACTTTAGCTTTTGCTATTGCTCTATCTCGAGGAGGGAATGACTGAACAGTGGTAGCAATACTATCAAAAAATTGCTGAATGTCATTAGTCTTCACTTTATTTTCTAATATAAACTTTATTTTTGATGCTTGAAGGACTCTCACTGGAAATAGGTTGCAAAATTATTTCTTTGCAAATTTTAGTCCTGTTTTGCACTGGTGCATAGTTTTGTGAAGATCCTGAAATTGAATGCGTCTTTTTAGAGGTAGATGGCTGGGTCACAGTTGCTTCTGTAATATTTGGCTGTTTTGGAGATGGAATGGAGTGTGCTATTATAGCTTCAGGAGAAGATGACCTTGCTTGATTATCTTCATCAGAACAATTTTCTTCAGCATCACTATTTTTGTCTACATGGTTAGCTGGAACATTGCCAATAGTGGGTCTCTCCTTGAAATATGGCAACAGAAAAGACATCTCGTCTTCATATTTCCATTTTTTCCTAGATACACTAGCTTGTCCATTTTTAGTTTCTTTTTGTTTTTTATGGCATGTCAGAATGCATTGCGTAGTAAAGCCATGTTTTCTTGTAGTCACAATCTGAAACAAAAATTGACTTGTTTAATTTTATTGCAGATTTTTGGCAACCAGAGACTCCTACCTAACTATAGCATACAGTTATCGACTTGGTGTGAGCACTGTGCATAATATAATTGTAGAAGTATGTACTGCTATCATACAAGAAATGACAGAAAAATGCATGCCAACAACTACCAAAAAAAAAAAAAATGGTTAAAGATATCAGAAGAATTTTGGCATGTATGGAACTTTCCCAATTGCCTTGGTGCCATCAATGGCAAACACGTCGTCATAACGGATCCAGCTAACAGTGGATCTCTTTATTTTAACTATAAAAATAAAGAGATCCACTGTTCAATTGTACTGGCAATCGTTGATGCCAATTATAAATTTATATGTGTGGATTAGTGATGTGCCGGATCGTTAAAAATGTATATCCGCGGATACGGATACGGATACGGATCATTCGTGTCTAGATCCGCGGATACGGATACGGATACGGATCTCAACTTTCGTACTCAGTCGGCGCCGGTGCGTGTGACCTTGGACCGATAGTTGACGCTTTGCGTTAATAACGCGACGTGTTTTGACTTGCACTGCGCGTGTTTTTGTTTATGGTGTAAAAATGTGCTAAATTAGAATTCACCACAAAGGCAGACAGGATAAAGTAACAAAAGTTGATATAATTTTCCAATTGAGCTATTTCGCGTCTTTATACAGATTCTATTTCGGGGGATTCCAACTTCACGGTACAAACAGTAGCATGCGAAATTACAGCGATAATAATAGTTCGCTGTATCCAAAGCACGTGTACAATACAGATCCCGATCGCGACAATATAACCCGGAACCTTAAAACTAACCTTAAACACTAACTTAACACTAATAACAGAAAAAGGGATAGAATTAAGAAGACAGAAAAAATGATAGATAAGATAGAAATAGGGATATCTGGGATTTTGTCCCTTTTTTCGGCTTGTTTCTTTATGCATACTGTTGGGTGGGATAACACACGTCCTTCTCTTATAACTGGCCAGTTCTCTTCTTCAATAATTAGGATTTTTCCTTCCACAGTCGTCAATACGACCTTAAAACAGGATCTTTTTTCTGAACTTATTTCTGAACTATCCGGTCATTGAAAATACGACTCCCAGTATTCTCACCTCGTCCGTACACTCTGCTGTCCAGTTTACGAATGATCTGCTACGTCACTTCTTTTTTTTCTCCAGCTCCTCTTTACACCTTTGCTCCTCAAATTTCTAGGAACTGCTCATCCCAGCCAAGGGACAGGGAATAGATAAGAAAGTTCTAGAAGAAAATAGAACAATAGAACAAAGGGTAGAAAGAAGAAACGAAACTAAACTAAAATTAATATTTACAAAAATATAGCGTACCGCCACAATAGTTTAGTGCAGTGTTTCCCAACCTTTTTTGTGCTATGCCCCACCTAAGCCTTTCTAAAATTCTTGTCTCCCTAACATATACAGCGGCTATACGGTTAACTCAAACTCTGGACAAGTACAAGTCCATTTTCGAATTGCCTTCTTTAGCAATCCAATTGCCCCCTGTGGGGCGTGGGCCCCACGTTGAGAAACACTGGTTTGTGGCTAGTGTGACACGGGATAGCGTAGATTACGTTTGTTTTTTGGAGAGTGTTGAGTTAAATTAAAATAAAAACAATGTCGACAAAAAAATTTAGTAGTGTAATATGGAAATATTTTACGAAAGTAAATGACGAATGTGCTATTGCTACCTATCTTTAAAATTTCATATAAGTAATGAAATTCATTAACATAAAAGATCCGTTAAAGATCCGCTAAAAAGTAACGGATACGGATACGGATCTTTTTTTTCCCTCGGATATCCGCGGATACGGATACGGATACGGATATCCGGCACATCACTAGTGTGGATATACGTGCCTATGGCAAAAATAGTGATGGGAGAATATTCTCTAATTCAATCATTGGAAAAGCTTTATTGGCAGATACTTTACATGTACCAGAAGAAAAATATCTACCTGGCACTGAAATACTAATGCCGCATGTCATTATAGGAGATGAAGCATTTCCTCTAAAAACATATTTAATGTGGCCTTACCCACAGCCGCAAACACATGTGCAGTGCAAAAGAAATTTCAATGATAGATTGTCACATGCAAGAAAGGTAGTAGGAAAATTGGCACAAAAGTTTCATTTATACAATAGAAGAATCTAGCTCAAACCCGAAAATGCAGACAAAGTAATTATGACTACATGTATTCTGCACAACTTTATAAAACATAACAATGCCCATGCAAAAGAAAATATAGTAGTTAGTAATTTGAAAGGCTTGCTAAGGCAAGGTGGAAGTAGTCAATCTACTGCTTTTGATGTCAGAGACAAACTTGCTCTGTTTTTTGATTCACCTGCAGGAGCAATGTAAACAATAATAATGTTTTTTCTTAAATACATTTCTACTTACCTTTTACTTGAAGTTATTTTGCTATTTCTTTCCAAGCATCATCTTTTCATTGATTGTCACTGTACCTGTGATCACTTAAATCATAAAGAAATGTATATTCCCAAACTAATTCAATTAATTTCTCTTGATTCATCATTTTAAACAAGCACTGTCTGTGGGTGTCCACGATGGCATTCATACTAACTGCGCTGACTCCCATAGACACATACAGACACATGCTGGCACAGACAAAACATTCTCGCAAACAATACCGGCCGGTGCCAGCCCGTGTCTGTGTGGACACAATCCGCTCATGCGCGGTATATGTAAATATGCCCATAGAAAATGTATGTAATAATATTTTTATGTCTGTGCTGTTACATGTCTGCCACATACAGTATTTGTAGATATGAATGAAGCTTAATATAGAAGGAGTGAATTATTATTAGTAAATTCTAGCTCATCAGGTAGAGAATTACATATAAAATATTTTATTTTTTCAGACTTTTATGGTAACATACTTGATGTTCCTTTTTCAAATCTTTTAACTGTTTCTGTATAAGCCTGCTTCTACTCATTTGAGATTCAAATTTATTGAAGAAACTTACTCAAAGCATTACTGCAATGAAAAAGATTCACATCTGTGTGACAAAATTCTATAAGAGCTCTTATTCTCACTTTTAACATCTCAAATATTAGGCATAAAATTCAAAATGCCATATTAGAATGTATAATGCAAAGGATTTGATACTATTACAAACACACTCACAGCTCTAGATCCAATAGACAAAAACCTGCTTGTCATTACTGATGCACAGCAGGTATATAATGCAGAAAACTATTTTACGACAATAATACCAATATATTACTGTAATTGTAAAGATCATGAAAAATTGGTCAATTATATGATAAAAATAAATTTTGTTCTCCCTCACTCTATGAAATAACTCACTCTAATCATATATGGAGACAATACAGAAAATTATATCATTTATGAGAGCCTTGCATAAGGAATTAACTGATTTATCTGATTTTTCACAACAAACAGAAAAAATTCTTCAATAATCAAATATTATCACACTATTCATTATTAGCAACAATAAAATCTATCTTGACAGAGATTTAAAGTTATACTCATAAAAGAATGAAACCAAAGTTTAAATTCACCAATTAAAGTTTTAATAAATGCCTTTTTTTTTTTGGAATTAAGTATTTCTATTTTTATTCAAATTAATTAAAAGTTCTGTTTCATAACCAGTTTGATAAATCATAATCAGAGCTGGATCATCACATAGACAAATGAGACAAATGTCTAGGGCCCGGTTTTTAGAAGGGCCTGGTCAAACTGTCTATCTTAAAAGATTTGTAAATAAGATAGTTTACTTTTCTGTTGGACAACTATATATAGTAAACAAATAAACAAAAATATATTGCTTTTTATATGGTTATTGTGAACTCTAAAATCTAAAGAAAATGTGTTTGTATGTTTCTTCTTATTGAAAGTAAAACTCCCAATAATTTAGAATGTTTTTTATATGTTTTTAAGAATAATATTAACTGTAGGTATTCTTAACATCCTGTGAAATATTGTTAAATAATTTTGTTTTTATTTTTTATTATGCAGCTGCAGTGTCCATATGCGATTTAATAGAAATAATATTAACAAGATTTATTAATTAAAAAAGCTGGGAGGGGGCCCAGTAAGAAGAAAATGTCTAGGGCCCCAAAGTGAGTTAATCTGGCCCTGATCATATTCTTACACACAAAAACAATTAATTTTTTTCACAACTTAAAAGTTTTATTGAAAGTTGAAAATTCTAAAACATACTAAACACAAATTACTTGCTAAATACCCACATCATTCTTATTATGGCTTTACAGAATTATACAGATTTCTATATTAGTTACTTTAAAGGTATATAAATTTATAAGCACGTGTTATCATTACTTTCAGCTACTTTCTACACACATACCTTTATTCAGTTGCTTATATAGGTAACTTCTATCAGTTTTTAGTGTATATTAAAACTTATAGTTTGTAATTTCAAGTCTCAAATTATTACGAAACAATACAATCATTAAGATGCATATTGCAAATTGATTGAGCAACGTTTTTCGCGTTAAATACCAACAGAAATATCACGTTACATGGTACACAACAAATAAGGATATATGTTGACATTCTACTGAAACTTGTCACGATTATATTTTCAATTACAAAGTATATAAAAAAACGGTAGGTTACTTCTTGATAACATGTATAATTACCTATACAAATTACCTAAAGGTAACTCCTACTAAAAAAACTATTAGCTTAAAGATTAACTACGCCTTTAATGAAACAGATTACCGTTTTATCATTTATTTTTATATGTAATAAAATAAGTATTTGCTCAAAATAATAAAAAAATAGCTTTAATATATAAAAGTGATTTACCTTTACAAATTAATCCCTTATGCACATTGTAATAGTGTATCATTCATTTATAATTTGATTGACAATTGTTAACCCGGCGAGTCAATAAGTAATACTAGCTTAAAGAAATTTTCTACCAATTTCATAGACATCGCAACTGTTTATCACGAGTTTTATTACACAATTGTTATATATATATATATATATATGTATATAATATTATAAAAATAATTTTAAAATATGTTATTAATATCATAAAAGTGCAGATTTCTTTCAAATGTTAATGAAAATAATATATGCACGTAATTTTGAAAGAGTAGATAGTTATAGAATATAGAGGAATTTCTATGGAAGTCGTTAAATTTTATATTACGAAATGTGATATTGTCTTACACAGGGTAACGATAGCTGGGCGACGGACAACTAGGCGATTCACAACGGGCGACGGTCAAGAGGGCGATAGAAATTTAAAAAATTTCACGTTTAGCAAGCATACAATTTGATTATATATATTGGTATATTTATAAATATAAATACGATTAAGACATAAGTTATGAACTTCAAGTTATTTCCAACTTTGGAAATGTTTTGTTAATTATTGTCTTATCTTGTAACAGCTAGTTGGGCATGAGCTTCTAGGCTATATCGCCCCGTGGTAAAGTGTGACATAATTGTCATGTAATAGTAGTTGTATGCGTTTATGATGGTCATTATGCGGGGAAGAATGCATTCCGGGAAGTCTTTTAAGGATAACTGGCCCCTATTCAGGCGTTAGACTTGAAGAAAACCCGGAAAATTCCACATGGCCAGCCCGTCTGGGCGAGGCGCAAACCCACGAAGGAACTCCAAGGGATCAGTGAACGGAAACGCTTGGCCACTGGTGGCCAGTTAATTACAGTATTGTATGTCAGAAGCAGTTAAAGCACATCAAAGAAAAGCAGTTCTTCGAAAACAAATTCTTTCGGAGAACGTTTATAACTTTGTATTAATGTATAATGTATTTTTAATTGTATGTAATTGTCGTCTTTGTTTTCATGTATATTTGTTAATTTTCGGGGATGGATATCTACTATTTCCGGATAGCGGAGGGGTCAAGATGGCCGGATGGCCGAGCTTTCAAGGTGGCAGCCTACTATTCTGGGGGACCCGGGTACGACTCCGGACGGGTCGAAAAATCCCCAGGAACTTTTTGGAGGGTCCGTTCGGATATGTCAGGTCCCGTTCCTCACCACCCGGCCTCCCCATTGTGGGCCTGGTCGAACCCATAGTGGGCTTGCTAAAAAGAGGCTCTCTTAGTACCCACAGGGTGGAAAGAATTAAATAAAAAAAAGCTACTTCGGGACTTTATTTATTTTTACAAGTAAATAGAAAAGTATGTAACGTATAAATATGCTTGTTAACTACAAAATCGTTCTTTTAATTCGTTTCTTAAAAATTATTTAAATTTACCAGGTAGAAGATCAATAGAAAAGAATGATGGTTTTAATAAAGAATACAATTTACAATTTTTGTGTTTTGTTTATTATTAATCTCTTATTTTGTCGCCCACTCGCCGTCGCCCAGTTGACGGTGTCACTATTAGCACAGTATTGTCAAAAACGAGCGAAACAAAAATGTTATCAAATTTAAAAATATATTCTCTCTCGCCTATTTATATATAAGTCTATTCCTTTTTTTTCTGAAGATAAAAATCTTTCAACGAGATAGATGAAATTTGAGAAAATTGCTATTCGATGAATTTTTAAATTATCTGTAGTAGTAGAATCAATAGTAGTAGTCAATATATTCTGAGATATTACTGATTGAATATTTTCATCGTTTTCTTCGAGGCCTTCTTATTCATAACCAGTAGCGTAACTAGAACAGATATGAGAGATGCCAGAATTAGAAAGTGCAAACTTACATTCACCCTGTACCACCGTGGATAATACATAAACTTATATTTATATAAAATAAATGAGTTTGTCACGTTCAAATCTTTTTCCTGATTTATGTACAAAAAAGTAAGAGAACCTGGATCTCACTGGTTACACCACTGCTAAGCCCGTCATGAGTTCAGCCAGACACACAATGGAAACAGCCGGGTGGTGAAGGGCAGAAGCCAGACATATTCAGCAGACTACCATCCGAAAAGTTTCTGGTGCTGCTCACCCGGATCCCTAGATTAGTAGAATGACGCCATTTCCACCCTGGCTGTCCGCACGCTAATAACGAAATATCCCAGAAGTATTATGAAGGCTTAAAAGTACGAATCAAATTATTTTAAAAAATAGCTGCGTTATATATTTTCAATGTTTGAAATAAAATATCTGCTAAAACAATATATTGCGCCACCATATATTTTATTTAAATGATATTAAACTTTTACAGCTGGTCATAGAAGCTTTTCTGTCTCATTTACTTCGGATAGATGGATGGTTGAGGCGGCTATAGCATCAGCCTATAGCTCTGAAGGACCAGCGATCGAATAGCTCGAGGATTTTCTCGGAATGGCGGTCTGTCTCGGCCCTATCCCTCTCTACTCAGCCTTACCCATTATGGGCTTGGCCAAACCCACAATAGGTATTTTTTTAACTCTTTCCGCCCTGTGGGCGCTAAAAGGGCCTCATTTTGCAAGCCCATTATGGGTTCGGCCAGGCCCACAATGGGCCTGCCGGGTGGTGAGGGACGGGGCCCGACATATCCGAACGGACCAACCCTGAAAAATTCCTGGGGATTTTTCGACCCGTTCGGATTCGAGCCTGGGTCCCCCAGAGCGGTGGGCTGCCACCTTGACCGCTCGGCCATCCGGCCACCCACAATAGGTATGATTCAAAAAACTCCCGTATTCACAGGGCAAAAAGAGGAAGAGAGAAAATAGCCGATCATAATAAATAAAACCAATAAATATTATCTGTATAATTAAATATTATTTAATTAATATTATTCAAATTTCTCATATAAAATCAAAAGAGAAATCATTATCATTATTGTTTAACAAATTTAGATACCAAGTTTTAGGTGTGTTGCTATATGCTACAATGTTACGATACAGTATACAAAAAACTAGGAGCAATTTTGAATTAAACTATGTACGAGAGACATGTTTTCCCTAATCACGTTTTCCCTAAAAATGACGAACTAAGAAAATATAGATCAACCGATGTCGTTCTGATAATTAAAATCCGAATTCATCAATTTCTCGGTAAAAGTTCTCAATAACTGTTTCTGTTTTAAAACTTTGTTGGTATTTATATCCATCTATCATGCATATATCATAGTTTAAATAAGAACTTTCTATTTATAATTTATATATTAAATAGACTTCCGGTAGTATGCTAACGTTAAACACCACCAACAAACTCTTGTCCACTAACTCGAATAAGCATACCTTATTCACCTTGGAGGTCGACAAATCCAAGACAGATCACTCCCCGAAAAATACCTGGTGTTTTTCTACCGCATAGATTCAATCCCGGGTTCCCAAGAGTGGCAAGTTGACGTCTTGGTCGTCTCATGAATCTTGTTACATCAATATATCTTTTGCATAAAATCAAATTTCAAATAAAAAAATCCGAAATTCTTCAGACAGATACAATCAAAATCTCTCCGAACTAAATAAAGAAAGACAAATGATAAAAAGTCTTGGATATATTTTAAGCTAGAAGTAAATATTTCTATTTATTATTATTTTTAACTCTTTCCGCTCTGTGGGCACTAAGAGAACCTCTTTTTAGCAAGCCCATTATGGGATCAGTCAGGCCAACAACGGGGTTCGACATATCCGAACGGACCACCCCCCAAAAATTCTTGGGGATTTATCGACCGTCTGGATTCGAACCGGGATCCCCAGAGCGAGAGGCTGCCACCTTGACCGCTCGGCCATTCGGTCGTCAAAATATTTCTATTTAAAAACTATGGGATTGCAGGAGAAAGTTAACGTTTACAATCATGCAACTTATATACTTTCGAAGATGATAATCGGATCGGAGTGCACAAACTAAAGGACCTTTGAGATATACTCAAAAAAAAAAAAAAAGAAAAAAAAGGATGAACACGCAAGATGAAGGGCGTAGGTTTTTTTGAAGGAACATGTAAAAATAGCCTATCATAATAAATAAAACCATATAAAAATTTAAAATAAAGTAACGATCAAAATATTTGATACGCTCAAAAATAATTAAAAGTAAATCTGCCGATAAACCATTTAATTAGAGAAATAGTTAGGACATATTTCTTTTTAAACCAATATTCAATTTCACGTAACGAACATTTTTTTTAAAGCCCTGATAAATTTGCTAGAAATACGAATTGTCAACAGGGAGGATTGCGTAAGATTGTATATATATGATAGATAATCTGTAATAAATTTCACGCACTAACAAGACCGGTAAGTTACATCATTTGTCGGAAATACAAATTTAACGTCCGATAGTTGTTTCATCTATTTACCTTCATATCGTAAAAGACAATTATCTGATTTATTTTTAATTTCCAAAGGGCCTAAATATGATTATATCAGCACAAAATTTCATTTACAACTAGATAATGACAAATTCATCGGGCCATAACTTGGCTAATTAAATATATCATTATTAAAAAAATTTGGTTAAAGATAGACGATTAAGTCGCCATCTTGTGTTAAATTTTAAAATTATAATAATTATAAAAAATTTTTAATTTTGGATTAATTTATTGTATAGTTTTAAACTAGATTATTAAAAAAATTCAATAATTACCTAAAAAGATCTATCCATAAAAATTTTTTAAATTTCAGTTTTAATTTTAATTTTAAGAGAAAATTATTTTGTTGTAATTTAATGAATAATATATTCTAAAAATATAAAGTTCTTAATAAATAACAATTCAATTTACAAACATTTTATTCCAATAGTAAAATATATAAGCCAAATATTGAGAATATTACATAAATAAAATAATAATTAATAATAAATTTTCGGATTGATTTACTGTACTTATATACTAAATACATTAATATATTGTATTTATGTATTCAGCAGTATATATTTATGTTGCATTATTTATATAATCTGATATATATACACTGTATATGTATGTGTGTATGGGGGGATAATTTTTATTTCATACGCTTTCGTTAATAGTTCCATTAGTTTCAGCGATGTCAGACTTAAAATTACGGAATTTTTGCTATCGCACGCAAGTTATTCATTTCTTTCCTCGGCAGCTAATATATGATAAAAATTAAAAACGTGTTCGATAATTTTTATACATTAAGTTACGTTCGAATTCTTCATTATCAGACAAATAGAAAGATAACTGTAATCCTTACAAGTGGAAATTCCAAAAATATTCCAGAAATTTGTTATAATTATGTTACGAGCTGTGGGCTCGGGATATAAATTCAAAATACAGTTTACCGAAACTGACACTTTTTAGATACACTAACAACAAAAACTTTATATCTCTCGTTAAAAGAAATACTTCTCCAACGTTCTTTTTTCCGAATCGTTCTTTTTCTTTCGAATCGTTCTTTTTTTTTTTGAATCATTCTTTTTTGTTCCGCCACTCTCCGCACAATGGTGCTAGTCTCCTCCGAAGCCGGCGCGACACTGCCCTCCTCTTAAGGCATGTTCGTCCCGAGCATCGTTACACCCATAGTACCGCGCCAAACGATCCACATGAACAATCTTGGGTGCAGTTCTCGACCTCAGGCGCGACAATTATAAAAATATATTGCGAATTGCTCTATTAATAGTTACATGATCTAGTTTATGAATTGTTTTTTATTACTAAAATTTTTACTATATTCTCCAGGCAACTTGCAACTGATTTTAGATTACAAGCTTAGGCAATTGTCACATAATTTTATGATAATCATCTGGTGACTTTGAATGTAGTGGTACACTACATTACATATGATAAAAATATAAAGAGAAAGTATAATTCATATTCTATGTGTTCGAAATAAATTCAGTTAATTATTTTCTGCACGTTTCTTTAAAAAAAATCCACTTAAAATATTTTTATTAAATATTATTGCATTAAATTGTGAATAGTTTACATAACGACCACTATTCACCGGCGGCGCTTTAGAAGAATATTCATGTCATTGCGTTTTCTTGCTTTAACAAACATATTTTTGTTTCGTGTATTAAAATAAAGAAAATTTCTTTAACTCTTAAAATCTATTAATTTTAATTAGTGAAATTATATATAAATGATTAGTTTTATTAATTTTAATTAATTAATGATTATAAATTAAATTAATACTAATATATTTTAAAATGTATTAAGTATTTATAGAAAAATAAATATTTTATAAAAGTATAAAATTATAATTTCGAAATTAAAATACATGTCTTATAAGATTATCGTTTGATAACTTAACAAACATACATATATATATAGATTAAATAATAAAAGTTTTTAAGGAGAAAGGGAAAAATGAAAAAAAAAAAAAAAACATTTATTTTTCGAGAATTTAAGTTTTACATAAATAATTAATCATTTTAAAATAATTTTCGCTTTTGTAATGAATTATTTATAAATTTTCCGTAATAAATGATTACCTAATTAATAATAATCGTGTTATAAGTTCACAGACGAGAAGAAAAGGGAACACATGCGAGAAGTAAACAAAAGAAATAAATTTGAAATTAAATAAATAAAGAAAAAAGAAATAAACTTTATGAAGCGTAAAATAAATACGTAATTTTCGATTTGTGTTAAACAGGTCAAACACGGAAAAAACTTCAATGTCAGCATGACGTCACGGCAAAGTTAAAATACGCCATTTCTATAAGTGCCGTTCCACCCTAAATATATAAAATAATTATTTAACAAGTTAATAATAAAATCGAACGATATTAATTTTAATCATATAACTAACATATAATTATTAATAATCGCACTAATCCAATAAATATACCAATTTTTATATATCGAATATTACATATACCGACGTGTAGTTCAATGAAGGGAACAGCACCAATAACGGGTAAGCAGTTGGTTTTATGAGTGGCGATTCGTTGTCCATTGGTTCAAGATTTCCATAGCCAATCAAGAAGGGACCACTGTTGCTTGTATCCAATGTAAGTTGGCAAATTATCTTCGATTTTGTAACCCCCGAAAGAAGTGAGATTTGTAACGTTTGCATAACTACAACGAACCTATCAAGTGAATTCGTTCTGGTTAGGTTGACGGATAAAGATGGCGGAAGCGGTCACCATCTTGTTTAGTATTAAAGATCCAGTCGGACGTGTCTTAATTGTTAAGCTTAGTCTGAAGCGATTTAGAACGTAGTTGTTGGCCAACTTTCTCTCTCTCACCCGTCCCGATCGAACTGTTCAATATGTCGATTGTGTGTCGAGAAGCGAAACAGTCAATACTGCTTCCCCCTTTTATCCTTCTTTTTTTAAGAAATGCGATAGATTCAATTTGACTAAACGTAGATTTATTTATCTCGAAATCTAAACGCGGTCGGTTTTTAATTATTATAAATATTACCGTTTAATTAAGCTTAAATGTCGTGCCATGTGCGACTAATTAAACAAGCAATTTAACAAGAGTTGTTTCGTTTTTCCCCCTTAATTAATGCCAATGTTTTAGCAAAAGGTATCAAAAATTTTCGTTATTACTGTGACTTGTCATAGATGTTCGGTTTCCTGGATGCAAATTAAGCTTTTAAAGTAATATTTTGTATATTTTTAATAAAAATGTAGTTTTGTAAATAGCTTTTGTATTAAAATTATAAAATGTATTTACATGTATAAAAGATAAGTTCATAAAAATTATCATAATAGGTAAGAAGCAGATTTCTCAATACTTATTTTGCTTATTCTGTAACCAGAAGTAGATAATATAACACTTTTTTTCAATTTAGTAAAAAAAATCTGTCATTAAAAAGAATATTTTATTGTATATCTGTTTCTAGTAAATCATTCTGACTAGTATTATTTATAATATAAATAAATATGAGTAAATAATTATCATTAAATAGATGACATCCCCAGAAATTAGTTGTTTTATCACTTAAATTTTTTAATCTCAATAATGATATAAAAATATTTTTATATTGTATGTAATGGTAATTATTTTGTATACTAATTTCAAAATTAAAAGCATGATAAGTAATTTGTCATTAATTTAAAATCAATAGTAATGAAAAATGTTTATGAAATGGCTGTTTTTTTATTCTTATATGGTAATTATCTATTCATCTTGGATTGTGTACTCTGTACTCTAAATATAAAGTCTGCATTATAATCAGATTAAATTAGTTAGAAATTATTTTTAATTAATTTAACTTGAGTTATAAAGAAGTTTAGAAAAATATATAAACTATAAAATTAACAATTGAAATGAGAAATATATAAAAAGCAAAAACTTAATATTACAGAAACCATTGCCAAAAATATTTAAATATATATGATAGTATTCCAGCTAAATTCATCAAGATATGAAGGCAACAAATCAGCAAGAATATATAAAAATAAAATATTCAGACCAAGTAAATTATATTCTTAATAGTAAAATGATTAATCAAATTATATGCTTAATAGTAAAATGATTAATCAATTCTACATAAATTGGAATGTATTTTCCATTACAATTTCAACTGAACTATTAATCTGCTCAGTTTTTTAATCCCCATTTCTTTAAACAATATAAAAATCTATTATTGTCAATCATCATCTCAACTATTCCAACTGAAGGACATCTATTGTTTCTGGTTCTAAAGAAAAATTTAAACTTTTTCCCCCCTATCATTTATCTGTTTATGGTCTAATAAAAATACTGTTGCAATATTTTTTAAGTCTTATAGTAAAATTTAATTTATTTGAATGCCTTTTAAGACTTTCTCTTAAAAATAATTTTTTCACTTTCTACAAATTTTTAATCAGTTCTTTAATAACAGAATTATATATACTTGAAAAATATTATTATCAAATTGGTATTGGTTTATGATAATTTTATTAAAATATATCTGGGGAACATATTTTTCCTATAATAGAAAGAATGCTAAGAAATTAACTATTACTCAAAAGTAATTGATCATCAACATTAATACTAATAGAAAGATTGTTCTAAGACAGTAAAACTAAATTTTTTTCCTTGCATGTAATCTTTATACAGTATAAGTATTCATGTACATGTATGTTTACTCTTGTTCAAAAAAAGCAAATGTACCAGTGGGTTATGGGTTCATGTCTGACTGGTCATGTGGAAAAAAAAACCTAGAAAAAATTCACATTGACATCTAAATAGGAGCAAGTTTTCTATAAAAATTCTCTCCTCGGTAGATTACTGATGTTTCATTGCTTTATCCAATCAATCCTTGTTCAAAAAATATATATTTTTTAGAATCATTTAAGTCGTCTCACTTTCAAAATTATTTATTTTTTTTTTGTATTAACGTAGCAATAAATTTAAGCAAGATGATATATATTCATTACTTAAACATTGAAATATTTTATATTTTTGATATTTGAAATATTGAATATTTTATATTTTTAAAACAATGAGAAAATCAAGATGATTAATTGATATAGTCAAAGAAATCAATGCTATCAGAAGAGTGGAAGAATATCATAGAGTATGTTGAAGAAAACCAAAACATGTTTAGATGATTTTTTTTATGTGCAATAGTACTGTATTTTATGAAATATAAGATGCATCCTCATTTCAGTGTAGAATATTTAGGAAAACATTTAGTGTATTCAGCCAGCCTGTGCCTTTTGGTACTTGGCCCAAAAGTTTTTTTTACTGTATTTTGTTTAAAAAAGAAAATAAGTTTAGAATGCACACTGTTTTTTCAGGAAAAAAATTTAAAAAGTCATTTGCAATTAAAATTTACCATTAAAATATTCTAATTAATACATGCAAAAGCTACTTAGCTATATAAGAAAAAAAAATTAAAATATCCAGTAACCATAAAACTAGTATAAGCAATTTGGAAAATTTATTAGCCTTTGGGAGTTTGCAACTTCATATATACGTAAGATGCAAGGCATAAAAGTTCTATTTGTTGATTTATGCCATTTTTCAGAAAAATTATTTGGAAAAAGAAAAACTATACACATGTACAGTACACTTGAAAGAATTAGGTCATATACAAAGGAAGAAATTTCCACTGAAAAATACAAAAATAAATATTTGTAGTGAATGAGGTTAAGGTAGAGGATACTGTATAAGCTGTTTGCTTAAGTTAAATGTGAAAAATATAAGTTAAATAGGAGAGTTGTATATCTAAAAGAATGAAAAATTAACTTGTTAAATGTGTGTGTGTTAATTTTTTTTTAATATTTGTGAAGTAATGCTACGTAGCATGTGTAACAGCCCCAACAAAACAAACAATTTGCCTCCATATGAAATATTGTACATATAAATAATGTAAGAACAGATATAAAATTTATGAACCATGTATAATATAAAACATTATTGTATAATTTTTAACTTTTTACTTTTTAAATACAAAACATCTATAAATAATAATTATAATAATAAAATTATAAATTTTTTTTTTTTTNTTTTTTATGTGCAATAGTACTGTATTTTATGAAATATAAGATGCATCCTCATTTCAGTGTAGAATATTTAGGAAAACATTTAGTGTATTCAGCCAGCCTGTGCCTTTTGGTACTTGGCCCCAAAAGTTTTTTTTACTGTATTTTGTTTAAAAAAGAAAATAAGTTTAGAATGCACACTGTTTTTTCAGGAAAAAAATTTAAAAAGTCATTTGCAATTAAAATTTACCATTAAAATATTCTAATTAATACATGCAAAAGCTACTTAGCTATATAAGAAAAAAAAATTAAAATATCCAGTAACCATAAAACTAGTATAAGCAATTTGGAAAATTTATTAGCCTTTGGGAGTTTGCAACTTCATATATACGTAAGATGCAAGGCATAAAAGTTCTATTTGTTGATTTATGCCATTTTTCAGAAAAATTATTTGGAAAAAGAAAAACTATACACATGTACAGTACACTTGAAAGAATTAGGTCATATACAAAGGAAGAAATTTCCACTGAAAAATACAAAAATAAATATTTGTAGTGAATGAGGTTAAGGTAGAGGATACTGTATAAGCTGTTTGCTTAAGTTAAATGTGAAAAATATAAGTTAAATAGGAGAGTTGTATATCTAAAAGAATGAAAAATTAACTTGTTAAATGTGTGTGTGTTAATTTTTTTTTAATATTTGTGAAGTAATGCTACATAGCATGTGTAACAGCCCCAACAAAACAAACAATTTGCCTCCATATGAAATATTGTACATATAAATAATGTAAGAACAGATATAAAATTTATGAACCATGTATAATATAAAACATTATTGTATAATTTTTAACTTTTTACTTTTTAAATACAAAACATCTATAAATAATAATTATAATAATAAAATTATAAATTTTTTTTTTTTTTACTGTTAGATTAAAAAATCTAAAATCAGAAAATAAATGTTAAAATAATTCTTTAAATTAGATTTTAGTAGAAAATGTAAGATTAATTTTAATAAAACATATAAATAAAATATAAAACATTTACAATTAAAAGCAAGTAGGTAATTAATGATATAAATAACATTTTCCAATAAATTTTGATATTTGAACATAAAATATTTTTATTAATCATTCGTAGAAAAGTACTGTACATTAATCTAATCCTCAATCTTTTTAAAGAGACACTTTTTTTTTCTGCAATTTGAAAAATTTGTTGAACCATAAATTTCCACTGTTGTCCATCTGTTTGTCCTTCCTTAATCTCAAGAACAGCATTAGGTAGACGAAAGCTGAGACCCTATATGGAAAGATTAGGGGCAGGAGGCCCCAATTAATTATGTATGAACTTTTGATGAAAGTTACATTATTTTAATTCAAAAATTTTTCTCTGAAAGGAGTTAGATGACTGTATTGCTAACAGGAAAAGAATAATATACAGGGGTAAGATCCTAATTTGAAGTGGAGAGTGTATACTTTAACTTAAATAATTTTTAAAAAAATTTGCAGCCTGGCATTGTAACAATGTCACAATAAATAACTGCTCATATTTTTTATAATTCTTGTGCCCCCCCCACAGCTTTTGTGA